ATCTGGCAGAGAGCTCTGGAGCCACCACAAACTATGAATCCCAGGGTAGAGAGAGCTTATAACACCTTTGAGATTAAGTGAAATGAAGAAGTTGGCAGCATGAGCTTTCGTAGGCTTAAGCCTACTTCCTCAGATGCATTTAGTCCCAGGATTCCACAGCACTGAACCATGGCAGTTAAAGCAGTGTCAAACTGGATTATTTCTGCAGTGCGGATGCAGCTCTGGTCTTCCCTTTCCCTGGCACAATGGCAAAGAAATCTAGACAGTCCTTTTTATCCCTGTCACACTGCAGAATTAGTGCAGTTTGATACCACTTTAACTCTGCCATGGCTCCATGTGATGGAATCCTGGGATTTGTAGTTTGTTGTGACACCTGAGGTCTCAGCTAAATGGGTCACAAAACTACAAATCCCAGTGGGATAATTAACTTGATAGATACATGTTAGTATTAATGGTTTGTATTAAATGTTAGGTATATAAGCTGTGTATATATACATATCTGTATGTAACAATAATATTTATCAACTATCCTAAAAAATAAAAAACTACAATTCCCAGGATTCCCTAGCACTGAGTCAGGGCAGTTAAAGTGGTCTCAAGCTGGATTATTTCTGCAATGTGTTTTGGACCTCTGACTCTGGAAATCAGAGTTCGATTCCCAGCTCAGCCGTGAAACCCACTGATTGATCACACTCTCTCAGCCTCAGGGGCAGGCGATGGCAAACAAATCTTGCCAAGAAAACCCCATGATAGGTTAGGGCCTTAGGGTCACCATAAATCAGAAACAACTTGAAGGCACACAGCAAAAGCAACAGCAACAACAACAACAACATATTACCATTAGGAAGGAAAGTGTCCTATACAGTGGGCTCTTCGCATCCGCTGGGATTTGGTTCCAGGACTTCCTATGGTTACCAAAATCCATGGATGCTCAAGTCCTGTTATATACCTTTACTCCTTTGCTTTCGTATCTTACATAAACAAAAGTGCAGCCAATGTGTAATTCTGGTAAAATTCAACAACATAGCTGTGTTAGTCTGGACCAGTGTACAAAGGGATCCACAAGATCCCTTTGCTGTAAACAATCTAGTAGTGTGGATGCATGCATGACAAAGTAACTCACGTAAGACAAGATGCTCAAGTGCTAAGATATAAAGGGCCTTTGCAGACTGTTAGAAATAGTGCAAATTGAGTCCACTTTAACTGCCTTGGCTCAGTGCTAGGGAATCATGGGAATTGTACGGTATTTTTTTCTGAGACATTGAGCCTTTGGTATCTGTTGGGATTTGGTTCCAGAACCTCCACTACCCCCCCCCCCATGGATACCAAAATCTGTGGATGCTCAAGTTCCATTAAATACAGTGGTGTAGCAAAATGGCATCCCTTATATAAAATGGCAAAATCCAGGTTTGCTTTTTGGAATATGTATATATATATATATATATATATATATATATATATATATATATATATTCAAGCCATGGGTGGTTGACTGCATCACTGTATCACTGAATACCAAAGTCAGGATTGTCCATGCCATAATATTTCCAGTTATTATGTATAACTGTGAAAGCTGGACAGTGAAGAAAGCTAAAAGGCACAGAATCAACTCATTTGAAATGTGGAGTTCTACCAATACCAAAAAGACTGCCAAAAAGACAAATAAATGGGTCTTTGGGCCTTATCACACGGAGGCAAATTGCTTAAATCCCGTGCAAAAACTGGATTTAAAAATCAGGGGGGGAAAACGCAAAAGCTGTTTTCAGACGTGTTTGTGTAAAGGAGAAATAATGTGACATTAATCCAAACGGAAAGTCGCCAAAACCCACTCCTTTTTTCTTTTGGAAGTTCCCGAAAGTAAAAAGGAGCGGGTTTTGGCGACTTTCCATTCGGATTAATGTCGCATTAATTCTCATTTATACTTATGTCATCTGAAAAACAACCCACTTTTGCGGGTTATTTTTACTTTATGTTTGGGTTAACCCCAAACGTTGTGTAAAAAACAACCCACTTTTGCTGGTTGTTTTCACTTTAAATCCAGTTTCTGCACAGGATCTGTCCCATCTGATAAACTCCTTATTGAGGCTGAAGTCTGAAATCTCCCTGGAAGCCAAAATGATCAAATTGAGACTATCATACTTTGAACATATCATTTTATTACATTTTCATTATTGGCACGTGATTCAGTGGGGTACTTTTACCCTTTTAGTAATTTTAGGGGCTTTTCTGCTCCAGGGTTTAGCTAATCTTTTCTATATATCTTATACCATTGATTTTGAAGTTGGGTGGGGCACTGTTGTTTTTATTCTTTTGGCAAAACCTCCTTCTTTGGTTTTTGATGTCCAGTGATAAGACATCAAAAAATCAATAGTGCTTGCTAGCTTGAAAGGCAGTAGGAAAGGAGGAAGATTGTATTACAGGTGGCTATATTCAGTCAAGGAAGCCACAGCTGCCCTAGGTTAACAACAGCAACCCTCTATGTGTGTGTGTGTGTCATTTGTGCTGCATGTGTTATATTTATAGTTGTGCAAGGCACATCTTCTGACAGTGATAACGAATAATTTAGGCCTGTCTGCTTTACACCCTTATTATCCATGCATGTAATATGTATATATGTATGTAAATATGTATGATATATATACAACACACACACACACACACATATATATATATATATATATATATATTGGGGAAGAGAGTCTGCAAGGCTGTTAACTACAGTAACCATTTTTAGAGAGAGAAAGAGAAAGTGTGTCTATTCCAATATGAAAAGAAATCTTGTGCCACCTTAAAGAGCAACCAATCAATTTGAGCATCAGCTTTCATTTTTTAATACTTTTAATTATTGTTTTACTTAAAAACAAACATACATATATCACATACTAAAGAAAAAAATACACACCACTAAAACAGCCCCCCAAAAAAACCCTCACTATGGACACTAACATATTACAAAGTATCAAAGACATACAGACAACTACAAATTGATTCCTTCCTAAATTTCTCTTGGTTATCTATACAATGTCTATCTTGTATGCAACTTCACGTTTCCCTTTACACGTTGATTCTGTACTTATTTTATTTAATTTTAACTCTTTGTCTCAAAAGACTACATGTCTTAACGCTCTCAGTATTTTCGTATCATATCTTTATGTGCTTTTTCTCTCACTCTGAGCCCTATTCGTTTTTCAAGAAAACAATCAAAGGTTCCCAGTCTTTCTTAAAACTGTCAAATTATTTCTTTTTTAAAATATGGCTCAGCTTAAGCAATCTTGTGGCACCTTGAAGAGCAACCAATTCATTTGAGCATCAGCTTCCATGAACTGCAGCCCACTTCTTCAGATGCAAGATACCAACCTTTGTCCTATACTAGCATTATGACATGAAAAGGCTGGGGCCAACTGGAGCAAGATGCAACTGAAGAAGTGGACCCTAATTCACAGAAACTTATGTTGAAATGAATTGCTTAGTCTTTATAGTGCTACAAGACTCCTTTTTATACTGAAACAGACTATCTCTGGGCCTTTGCAGACTGCCAGAAATAGTGCAAATTGAGTCCACTTTAACTGCCCTGGCTCAGTGCTAGGGAATCATGGGAACTGTAGTTTATTGTGGCACCAGAGCTCTCTGACAGAGAAGGCTCAATGTCTCAGAAAAAAATACAATTCCCATGATTCCCTAGCACTGAGCCAGGGCAGTTAAAGTGGATTCAATTTGCACTATTTCTAGCCGTCTGCAAAGGCCCTCTGTCACATTTGTTGTTGTGTGCCTTTAAGTCATTTTCAACTTACAGCAACATCAAGGTGACCTTATCATGGATTTTTCTGGCAAGATTTGTTCAGAAGAAGTTTGCCATTGCCTTCCCCTGAGGCTGAGAGCCTGTGACTTGCCCAAGGTCACCCACTGAGTTTCATGGCCGAGCTGGGACTCGAAACCTGGTCTCCAGAATGACAGTCCAATGCTCAAACCATTATGCCACACTACAATAAGATTATTATAGTGAACACAGGCTGCATCTGCACTGCAGAAATAATGCAGTTTGACACCCATTTTAACTGCCATGACTCAATGCTATGGAATGCTGGGGTTTGTAGTTTTGTGATATATTTAACCTTCTCTATAAGAGAGCTTTGGGGCCATAGCAAAGTATAAATCCTATGATTTCATATAATTGAGCCATGGTAGTTAAAGTCGTGTCAGATTGTATTATTTCTGCAGTGCAGATGCAGCCAAAGAGTGTTGGAGCTGTTCTTTCCAAAATATAAAAACATTTTACAAACGTATACACCTATACAGACATACGCAGACATTATACAATGTATACACGCACCAACACACACATATATGGACTGCATCAATAGGCATATAGTGTCCAGACTGAGGGAAGCACTATAATAGTACCACTTGGGTGTGTACTTTGTATGTACTTTGCCCTTTGGTTAATCTTCATTTGGAATATTGTGGTCAGTTCTGAGCACCGCAGTTCAAGAAGGTTATTGATAAGCTGGAACGTGTTCAGAGAAGAATGACCAAGATGGCCAAAGATCTGGAAACCAAGCCCTGTAAAGAATGTTTTAGGGACCTGGATATGTTTAGCTTGGAGGAGACTAAGTGGTGATATGATATTTTCCAGATATCACTGAATTACCCTTGCCATCCACCCAAGTCAACACAGCCAAGGTTGAGGGATGCTGGGAGATGCAGTCCAAAAAAAAAAACTGGAGGGCCACATTTCCCAACACCTGCGGTAAAGCAATATAACATGCCCTCTTTTCAATCCAGGATGGGTTTTAAATTGTAATTCTGTGCACATGTAATTGGGAATCATTCAACTCATTGGAATTACTTTTCAAATAAAACATGAATAAGCTCAGGAGGCGCATGTGAAAATTCAAGAGTTATATTCTTTCCTCAGATATGAATGTCTCATAAGTATATACTTTGTTGGAAATGATCTCAAAAAAAGTACTGGGTATAATTTATCATGTAATCCTAGAATAGCCCTCCTAAATCTTTTGAAATCTGAAGTTCAAGCAACAGATTTAGAAGTAGCCTGTAGTTACTGTTCTTTTGACTGCCGCAAAAATCTGCATTGCCAGAAAGATGAAAGAGGAAATAAATACCTTTGCTCAAAGGTTGGTTGGAGAATACATGGTGTGTGGTTGACTGGATTAAGTTACCATATAGAAAAGAAAAACAATTGCAGCAGGAGA